CTGTCTCTCTCTCTCACTGTCCACTCTGCCTGTCAAAAAAATAAAAAAAAGAAGGTATTTATAGATGCCATCTACCACCACATGACTAATAGCAAAAATAAGGCTGAGATTTATTTGCATTTCCTTCTTTTAAAAATTTTAAAGGTAAGATAAATCACTTTTTAAACATTTTATTTATTTATCTTTAAATATTTATTTATTTATTTGAAGAGCAGAGTTACAGAGAGAGAGGGAGAGAGGGAGAGACAGAGAGATATCTTCCATCTGCTGGTTTACTCCCCAAATGGGTACAACTGTCAAGGTTGGGCCAGGCCAAACAAATCCAGGAGCCAGGGATTCCATCTGCATCTCTCACGTGGCTACAGGGGCTCAAACTCTTGGGCCATCCTCTGCTGCTTTTCCCAGGCACATGAGCAAAGAGCTAGATCAAAAGTGGAGTGGCCAGGACTCCAACCAATGCCCCTATGAGATGGTGCTGTTGCAGGTGGCAACTTAACCCACTACGCCAGAACACAGGCCTCTTCATTTTTGGAAAGAGAAAGAGAAAAAGAGAGACAAAGAGGTCTGGTTCATACCCAAATTTCAGCAGCAGCTGGGACTGGGCCAGGCCAAATCCAGGAGTCTGGAACTCAATGCAGGTCTCTCACATGGCTGGCAGAGACCCAACTACTTGAGCTGTCAACTGCTACCTCCAAGGGTCTGCATTAGTACAAAGCTGGAATTGTGAATGGAGCTGAGACTCAAACCTGCATACTTGAAGGAGATGTGGGTTTCTGAAGTGGTATCTTAACCACTAAAGCAGACGGTCCCCACCCTCCACCATGCATTGCCTTCTTATTTTGATATAAATACATTTGTATATTAACCAATAGTCTTCCTTCTTCCTCTCATTTCTCTTCTATTTGACATAAGTTTCTAGCAGTTTGCCTTGTATCTTGGTGTTTGAGTGACAGGACATCAAAGGGAGAACGTGATGAAGCTAGAAGCAGCAGGAACACATGGAAAGATGGTTAGAGGAAATTTGTAGCCTCTTTTGGGGAGAGGATTAGGGTGGTTTTGGTTATACCAGGGATAGTGATATCATGTTATGTGAAACCTTGATTTTTGTGTCATTTTTTTGGTTGAGTTAAATGTAACTAAAAGAGGGATGCCAAGTTGATGAGGTGGTTTTGTTCTGTGCCAACTCCCCTAAGATGGAATTGAATTTTTTTAGATTTCCCTTCCCTGCTTCAAGCTGGTGTTGACCACAAGATTCATTTAGTGTGAATTTGGAAGCCAGCAGTGAAGCAGAAGCCGTATTTTTCACCCCCTGATGGTGAAGACATGGTACCAGGCAAGTGGGGGACATTTGTCCCTATTATTATTATTATTTTTGACAGGCAGAGTGGACAGTGAGAGAGAGAGAGACAGAGAGAAAGGTCTTCCTTTGCCATTGGTTCACCCTCCAATGGCCGCCGCGGCTGGCGCGCTGCGGCCAGCGCACCGCGCTGATCCGATGGCAGGAGCCAGGTGCTTCTCCTGGTCTCCCATGGGGTGCAGGGCCCAAGCACTTGGGCCATCCTCCACTGCACTCCCTGGCCACAACAGAGAGCTGGCCTGGAAGAGGGGCAACCGGGACAGAATCCGGCGCCCCGACCGGGACTAGAACCCAGTGTGCCAGCGCCGCAAGGCGGAGGATTAGCCTAGTGAGCCGTGGCGCCAGCCGTCCCTATTATTATTGATGTGGCAGCTCACTTTGTAGTTGGGGGGCTGCCATCAAGCCCATAGTTTCCCCAGTTCCCAGAGGGTCTCCTTCAACTTCCTGTGAATTGTGGACCAAGATACTATACAACTCTAGGTGAAGGGTATCAGCTTCTGCAGATTACCCATAGCACTGAAGTTGGAAGTAGTAAGAGAGACAGGGCTTCCTGTTCTCTATCAAATTTTCCTTTTCCTCATTGACATTTAGCTTTCTTCCCTTGGTTGATTTATGGCGACTTTAGGCTCAGCACTAGACCCAGAGGCAATGGCCTGTGTGGCTGGCCCCACTAGCTTCCATGATTCCTTAGAGTCTGTCTCACTCACAGTGGTTCTGCCTCTCTCATTGAACCATGTCCTAAAGACAGCTCAGGAGAGACATGATAGCAGTGTGGGGTTCTTGTCCCAAAGATCATGCAGCTTTCATGGGGAAACTACATTTATTTTTGGTATAAAAATCAACGAACTTTGTTGAAAAGAGTGTCTAGGATTCTCCTTCAGAGGCTATGTAGAAAGGTTTTCCATCTGCTGGTTCACTCCCCGAATACCCACAATAGCCAGGGCTAGCCCAGGTCTAAGTCAAGAGCCCAGAAAGCTGCTTCTGGGTCTCCCACGTAGGGGTCAGGGCCCAGGTGCTGACTCATCGCTTGCTGCCTCACATGATGTATTAGCAGGAAGCTCACTGCAAGTGGAGGGGCTAGGACTTGAAGCAGGTAGCGGCTTAACTCGCTGTGCCACAATACCTACCTGGTTGTTTTCTTCTTGAAGGAAAAATAATCTGTAGTTATTGAGGTAAACTTGACAGATACAGGTAATCATCAGAACACTAATAATATTTTGCTGAGTACCCTTCAAGTCTTTCTTCAGTCCACATGAGGGAGCTTCAAAACATTTTTGGAAAATGTGTGTAATAAAAGTGTGTGATCACTTTCCATGAACTTTTGAATTATTCATGCATCTATATCTATGTACACATATACTGTATTTTTATAAAAATGGAATCACATTTGTTTTATAAAACAGCATCCCCCAGAATATTTCATGAATATTTGTGTCTAAATGATTAAACAGTGTCCAATTCAACAACATAATTTTAATTATATCACAGTATTCCATTGCATAGCTATGCCATAATTTATTTAACCCGGATCTCTTATTGTTAGATGTTCAGGCTATTTTCAGTTTTTCCTAATTAATTGAAAAAAAACAACAACTCTGAAATGAATTTTTTAATGAGTTTCCTCAGTTTTTTTTTTTTTTTTTAAGATTTATTTTATTTATTTGAAAGAGTTACAGAAAGAGGTAGAGACAGAGAGGTCTTCCAACTCCTGGTTCACTCCCCCAAATAGCTGCAGTAGCTGGGCCAATCTGAAGCCAGGAGCCAGGAGCTTCTCTGGGTCTCCCACTTGGGTGCAGAGGCCTAGGGACTTGGGTCATCCTCCGATGCTTTCCCAGGCATATTAGCAGGGAGCTGGATTGTACTTATTTCAAAATGAGACAGACACACACACACACACACACACACACACACGAGGGAGGGAGGGTGAGAATTTTCTGTCTTCTGTTTTACTTCCCAAATGCCCACAATTAGCCAGGGCTGGGCTAGACTGAAACCAGGAGCCCGGAACTCCATCCTGGTTTCCCACATGAGTGGCAAGAACTGAAGTGTATGAATCATTATCTGCTGCTCCTCAGGCACCATTAGCAGGGAGTTGGATCGGAAGCAAAGTAGGTGGGACTTAAACCCAGGAGTGGCTTAACTCGCTGCACCATGATGCCCACCCGAACCTGAATTTATTGATCTCCTTTAATAAAGTGAAAGCTTGAGAAGAATTATCAACTTCCTTTGCACCTTAGAGAGCCCCCAGAGTTGTCCCTACTTGTAGCCCCACTGTGGCTCACCTGCTGACATAAAGCAGAATCCTAGATAAGCCATATCAGTAGTTCTTGAACACACTGGAGCGTGAGAAGCACCGATTTGGACGTTGCCGTTTCGACCACAGGTGGCCCTGATCCTCCTCTCTGAGTTACAGAGATGAGGAGGCCAGATGTGCAGGGGCAGCTGTCAGGAGCCCTCAGCACCTGGCTCTGCTCAGGCTTAACCACGCCCGAGTCCTGCCTGCACAGGAAGCCACCACTAAAGACAGGCTGCCCATAGGAGGAGACGTTAGGATTTCTGCAGGCTGCTCGGCAGGGTGAAAAAGGGTGGCACAGGAAAGGGAGGAACGCCAGTTCCTGGCCTCCGGAAGCCGCAGTTTGTCTAGGTGCTGCTTGCCCCTTATTTAGCTTTATCTGAGCTTTCCCTGAGACAAACCTCCGGTGACCTCTTTTCCGGTAGCATTTTGCCCCCATGGTAAAATGTTACCGTCTAAAATTTCTCCAAGAATTAGAAAGCTGACGTTGTCAAGGACCGAATGTGCCGCTTTTCAGTCGTTTCTGGCAGTTCCCTGCTTTTATGGTGTAGTCATGGTGAAACCTGAGTCATCTGAAGACTGGGACGTTGCCAAGGTGGGCGGAAGGGTACAGAAAACTCGGGATGTGAAGAGCAGGCCGGCGCAACTGCTGGGCCACGGGCACCCATTCCGACGGGAGAGCTGCCTCACCCCTACTCGTGCTAAGACAAATTGCCGCAAGCTTTATGGTCCTAATGAATACTTCCTGTGGCAAATGTGTTTATAGAGACAGCTGCAAGGACACACGCATCTTCCCAGGCTTCTAAGCAGCAACACCTTACTTTTGCACGTGCCAGATTTCTTTTATCCTTTTTTTTTTAAAGGTGAGAGACCCCGTAGCACTTTCTTGTGGGCAGGAAAGCAGTGTACCTCAATTTTTGTTTTAAGCAGAAGAAAAAAGTTTTCCTCTGTCCCTACTCATATACACTGAACGACTACCCAGAAAACACGCCCGTTTGGTGTGTGTGTGTGTGTGTGTGTGTGTTTGCCATTTCTCTACAATTCTGACTCATAGTCTGGAGGACAATGACTGATTTTTTCCCACTTCACATAGCTGCTGTGAATCTCGGCTCCCAAGGGTGGGCCTGTTCGTGCACTCCGGGCCCGGTCGATAGCGTGCTAAGCGTAAACAGCGGGAGGAGCCCAGCGGCCCGGGAAGCGGGCGCCCGCTCCTCTCTGCGGGAAGCAGGGTGCTGGGGACAGGTCGGGCGCTCAGAGACCGGGATCTACCCACCCCCGCCCCCCGGAACGTGATGCGCGTGGTGGGGGTGGAGCCGCCAAGTCTCGTCTCAATTTAGAGCTCTCCGCTTCTAGGCGCGCCCATTTCAGATTGCTAAACTCCACAGTCAGGAGGGAAAAAAAAAAAATCTGGGAGGAGGTGGCTGGCCACACCCCGCGGTGCCCGAGAGTTTCCCCCGCAGAGGAAGGCCGCCCAGGCAGACGCCGGCGAGATGCGGAGCCCGCCGCTGCTGACCGCCGCCCACCTCCTCTGCCTGTGCTGCGCGGCAGTGGCCGCGGCCCCCCGGTAGGAGCGCGGGGCGGGCGCGCGCGGAGCGGGCGCGCCCTGGGCCCCGGCAGAGGGAGGCTGCGGGAGGCTGTGGAGGCCACACTGCAGCCCGCGCGCCGGCGGTCCCCAGCTGAGCACCGGCTGGAGGTTGGAGCCTCGGTGGCTGCGGTGTGGCTCTCCCTGGGACTGATAACTTTCTTCTCCCTTGGAGTTGGTCAAACGTCCCTCAGGCTTTCTGAGCCCTTTTACTTTTAGTCCATATTGCCTCTGCCTTTTGCTTCTTAACATTTTGTTCCCAGATAACCCGCTGCTTCTCTCCAATGCATGATACATATATTTTTCTAAAGAGGGCGTCTCGGCTTTGACATTGTCAGTGTGTGGCTGAGGTGACCAAGTGTGGGTTCAAATGCAGCTACTGGAGGAAGATAACTGACATGAGCTCCCAGATCATGGAAAGTGCTCCATCCCTAAAGAGTTTTGCAGTTGAGTCCTAACCCTTAGCTTCGGCAGAGAATCTGCTGCTTGGAGGCCTGATCTGGTCTGCTACACCTGGGAGCTTCTCCATGGGCAGTTTATTTTCAGACGGTGTTGGTGTAATGATTGCTTTACCCACCTTGGGTGCGTGCTAGAGCAAAAGGCTTTGAAAAAGAAAACAGGCAGACATCCTATTTATTTATTTATTTATTTTTTTTTAGCTAGGATAAAGGCCTTTGCACAGAAGCTTAGAGTCTTGTGCTAGAACAGTAATTTCTGCAAGCTTCTGTTTAAGCCAGGTACACCGTGGCTGTTCCTGTGCTGGCTGGAGTTCACAAGATGGAATTAATAATGCAAGCCTGGGGCCATGGTGTAGCCTAGAAGTTAAGACATGGCTTAAGATGCGGGTCACCTGGATTGGAGTACCTGGGCTTGACGCTTGGCTCTGGCTCCTGCAGACGGTAGAGGTAGCAGTTGAGCTGCTGACACTCACATGAAAGACCCGGGTTGTGTTCCTGGCCTCCTGAAGCCCCAGCTTGTGGGCATTTTGGGGAGTGAGTAGCAAATGAGAGCTTTTTCTGTCTCTCAAATAAATAAAAATGAAATGAAACGTGACATAGGTCTTCCTTTAAGAGTGGTGCATGAATTATTGCATTAAAATTGATTTGTGGGGATTATTGTTGTTTCAGTAGCATTCAAATGCTGCTGCTAAATAGAGCAATGGAACAATATTAATTGTTGGCCCAGTATGCAGAGTCTATGTCACTATCTATGAAATTTGAGGATCACAAAAGAATGATTGGAGAAGTGAGGCTAAGAAACTTTGTTTTTCCCTGGTTGGGAATTCTTTAGGCCCCGGTTTCTGGTGACAGCCCCAGGGATCATCAGGCCCGGAGGAAATGTGACTATTGGAGTGGAGCTTCTGGAACACAGTCCCTCACAGGTCACTGTGAAGGCAGAGCTGTTCAAGATGGCATCAAACCTAAACGTGTCTGTCCTGGAAGCAGAAGGGGTCTTCGACAAAGGTAGGATGAACAGCACACAGCTCCTTACCCTCCTGCAGTAATACTTGGACTGTGTTAACAGAACCACAGGTTAGGTAATTAGTGTAACAGAGTACCCCCAATTTGCAGTGGCTCCCAAAACACACCTTTAACTTCCATTGTGTAATTCCGTAATTCTCATTTATGTAAGTCCAAAATGGTGTTCCTGGGCACTCTTCCAAGTGGAAGCTCGGATAACTCAGGCTTTCTTTCATTTGTGGTTCCATCATCATCACCAACATGTGACTCCCAAGACTATGGAGGAAGAACATGGAGTTTCTCGTATGTGAGGTTTTTCTGGACTAGGCCTGGACAAGCTCCTATCACCACTGCTTGTATTCAAATGGCAAAAGAGGCTGGGAAATGTAGGCTGCACGTTTCCCACAAGGAAAAAGCTCATCTTTGACAAAACCATGTGGATTTGCCATGGAGGATTTTACTACATAGGCCTCTGGGAAGGAACAGAAAAGCCACACAGTAATTTTTAAAAATTATTTATTTATTTATTTATTTTTTAGAAATAAATACTAATTTCATGGGTACAGCTTTAGGAATATAGTGGTTCTTACCCCCATTCCCGCCCTCCCACCCCAATCCTGTCCCAATTCCTACTCCCTCTCCCATTCCATTCTTCATTAAGATTCATTTTTAATTATCTTTATATACAGAAGACCAACTCTATACTAAATAAAGATTTCAACAGTTTGTACCCACACAGACACACAAAGTATAAAGTACTGTTGAAGACATGTTTTTTTTATTTTATTTTATTTTTTAATTTTTATTTTTTCGACAGGCAGAGTGGACAGTGAGAGAGAGAGACAGAGAGAAAGGTCTTCCTTTGCCGTTGGTTCACCCTCCAACGGCTGCTGCGGCCAGCGCACCACACTGATCCGAAGCCAGGAGCCAGGTGCCTCTCCTGGTCTCCCATGGGGGTGCAGGGCCCAAGCACTTGGGCCATCCTCCACTGCACTCCCGGGCCACAGCAGAGAGCTGGCCTGGAAGAGGGGCAACCAGGACAGAATCTGGCGCCCCGACCGGGACTATAACCCAGTGTGCCAGCGCCGTAGGCGGAGGATTAGCCTAGTGAGCCGCGGCGCCGGCTGAAGACATGTTTTACCATTAATTCTCTCTCTCTCTTTTTTTTGACAGGCAGAGTGGATAGTGAGAGAGAGAGACAGAAAGGTCTTCCTTTTGCCGTTGGTTCACCCTCCAATGGCCGCCACGACTGGCGCGCTGCGGCCGGCGCACCACACTGATTCGATGGCAGGAGCCAGGTGCTTCTCCTGGTCTCCCATGGGGTGCAGGGCACAAGCACTTGGGCCATCCTCCACTGCCTTCCCGGGCCACAGCAGAGAGCTGGCCTGGAAGAGGGGCAACTGGGACAGAATCCGGCGCCCCGACCGGGACTAGAACCCGGTGTGCCGGCGCCGCAAGGCGGAGGATTAGCCTAGTGAGCCGCGGTGCCGGCCACCATAAATTCTCATAGTACAAGTCATTAAAGACAGAGGTCCTACATGGGAAGTAAGTGCACAGTGACTCCTGTTATTGGTTTAACAATTGACACTCTTATTTATGACATCAGTGATCACCTGAGGCTCTTGTCATGAGCTGCCAACCACACAATAATTAAAATCTAGTTTTGTGGGGGTATATCTTAATGCTTAAAGTAATAAAAAAAGGAAAAAGAAAAGTAGAGTGAAATGTGAGCAATTTGTGGAAGGACAAATCATTCTTACCTCCAGTCTGGCCCTGTATTAAGAATGTTTTATTTTTCAATACTAAGGAAAAAATAATTTTCTTTCTGGGGAGAAGGGAGTCACTACTTAAGCTTTCCTCCTTAAAATGAATATTTATTGTATTTTTTTCTAATCACGAGGGCAATAAATGCTCTGCACTTACAGCTTGATAAACACTGGAAGTAAAGGAAATAAACCAAAATCACTGGTAATCCTACCACCCAGATATAAACACTAGAAGAATGTAGCAGGTTGTCAAAGGCCAGAGATCAGGGCATGAATTTCTAAACAGTTTAGAGTTTTCTTTCAAAGAAATCATTGAAGGGCACATAATGAAGGGTGAATGGCATTCCTCATGAGCTCATTAAATAAATACTTGTCGTCTACCAGCACAGAGAAGTTGCCCATCATGAAAGGAGATGAAATGAAAGATTATGTCTACATTTGTGGCTCTTTCCCCACTGGAAGCTGACTGACCACCTGGGTAAATTTGGGGTGGGATTCAGGAAGAGAGGCTGTGTGTAATGGCCAGCCTGTACCACTTTATCTCCCATAGCAGCAGTGTCGGAAGTGGAGAGAAAGCATAGGTGTGATCTGGTTTGGGTCCTGGCACAACTGTCATACTCCTGTGATCTTGGACAGGTTACTTACTTGCTCTGATCATCAGTTTCCTCATTTGTAAAACAGAGATAATGAAACTAACTTTGAAGTGTAGTTATAAAGTTAACAACAGTATGTAGTACTCAATACATGACAACTGCTAATACTACTGGTAGTAATAATACTGAAGACAAGGTTGCAGACAGTACCACTTTCTGTACATGGGGGAAGATGTCAAATTTCACTAGTGAACTGTCATTTCTGAAAATGAATGAATCTTGGTCTTATGAGAGTAGCTAAAGAAAATATTGAACTACAAAATCACAGGAGATAATAATTAAGGCAGTTTCATATTCATTATTTATTAAGAATTTATGAGTTTGACTCTACTGATATGGCAGTTTTACAGCAATGCAGAGGTCCTAGAATAACATAGATGATTCTGATGAGTATTTGGGCTCTGCTGGGCGTTTCTATGCTGTTATTTTAGAATTTCTCCCATGTTTTCTGCAGTCTCCTTTATTACTCTTTTTTTTTTTAAATATTTATTTGAAAGGCAGAGCAACAGATTGTGGGGGGAGAGAGAGAGATGAAAAAAGATAGAGAGATATTTTCTGTTTACCAGTTCACTCCCCAAACAGCCGCCACAGCTTGGGTTCAGCCAGTCCAGAGCCAGGAACCTGGAACTCTATCCTGGTCTCCCATGTGGGTGCAGGGCCCAAGCACTTGGGCCATCTTCCGCTGCTTTCCCAGGCACTGTAGCAGAGCTGGATTGGAAGCGGAGCAGCGGATAGGATGGTAGTATTGCAAGCGAGGGGCTTAACCCACTGCACTGCGATGCTGGCTCTCCTTTATCAGTCCAAAAATCACTGGGAGTGCATGTTGTTGTAGTTTGGTTTGTAACTTTATTCTTAGGTTTTTTCTTTTGGGAGGAGGGTCCGTGTTATCCCTTTGGAAGACTTAAGTGCTCGAGGCTAGATTGGAAAACAGGAGCAGAAAGGCTGATGAAAAGGAAAGAGGGAAAATGGGCTGTTTTTGACTCTGTTGGCATCCAGTTTCATTGAAACTGCCATGGCTAGGAGCACTTTCCCCTTTCCAGAGGAGAATGTTAGTCTGTTATCAGAGGCTGAGTTATTGTTCTCGGAGCAGATGCTTCCTGTAATCTTGGGGCTTAAGGAATAAGACGTTTCTCCCTCCTGGTCCTCACATCCTTTGCTTTGTCTGACTTCTCCAGTCTAACAATATGTAGGTAAATGAGGGCTTCTAAATCAGAAGGGTCTGGCTCTTCACAGGAGTCATGTTCTGTTTCTCCCATCACATAAACAAATGTATATATTTGATCTGATTATTTCATCGCTTTCTTACGAGGGCCCTGGAGACAACGTTGGTTTTAATCAAGATTCATCTCCTGGCAGACTGGATAAGGAGGAAGGCAGTTTTAGAATGGCTCATTTCCAACAGTCCTAGACTTCAGAGAAATCCCTCGATAAGGGTGCATTTTACCATAGCCAGAATGTATTTCTGGCTTACTTTGTGTCAGAAATAGTAATAACTAAAGTATTCAAACTGCAGAATATACTTGAATAAAGGCAGACAAGTATAGTTTTTTTTTTCAGGGAATAGTTCATTTATGTGTTTGACAGATGTGGGGGGAATTTTATTTTCATTTCTACCCTTGAGGCCAGTAACATTGGTTGTATTAAGTTAATTTCGTTTTGGTGAACAGTAGCCCTTTAAAAAGTGTTTCTACTAAACTTGGAGGAAGTTCTGTGCAGATGTCTTCATGCCACTGTGGTGGTGAGATCCGGATGCTGAAGTGTACTTGTCATTGTCACCACTCCCCTGACTCCCCTCGCCCCTCGCCCCTCAACATCTGCTGCAGCGTCACCATCTCTGCAGTGAAGAGAACTGGGTTCATGAGCTTGTCTTCCTTTGTCTAAGAGTTGATTAAGGCTACTGGCTTCAGATCAGCGCGGTGTGCTGGCCTCAGTTTGCCAGCCGCGGCGGCCATTGGAGGGTGAACCAACGGCAAAGGAAGACCTTTCTCTCTGTCTCTCTCTCTCACTGTCCACTCTGCCTGTCGGAAAAAAAAAAGGAAAAAAAAAAAAGAAAAAAAAGAATCGATTAGATAAGTATAATTGACACAACATAGTAAGAGTTAAGTGAGTACAAATTACCAGAGAGGAGACAATGGAGCAGCTATTGGCATTTGTTAAAGATTTTTTTAAAAAAATTTTTTGACAGGCAGAGTGGACAGTGAGAGAGAGACAGAGAGGGGTCTTCCTTTGCTGTTGGTTCACCCTCCAATGGCCGCTGCAGCTGGCATGCTGCAGCTGGCACACCGCGCTGATCCGATGGCAGGAGCCAGGTGCTTCTCCTGGTCTCCCATGGGGTGCAGGGCCCAAGCACTTGGGCCATCCTCCACTGCACTCCCTGGCCACAGCAGAGGGCTGTCCTGGAAGAGGGGCAACCGGGACAGAATCCGGTGCCCTGACCGGGAGTAGAACCCGATGTGCCGGCGCCGCAAGGCGGAGGATTAGCCTATTGAGCCACGGTGCCGGCTATTTGTTAAAGATTTTTATTTTATTTATTTGGAAGGCAGAGTTATAGAGGGAGAGAGGGAGCTGCTGGTTTACTCCCCAG